ATTAGGTTGTTAGTCATAACTGAAAAAAAAACAATACAGTTTTATGTGATACATATAAGATTGAATGTATCAAAAATATATTGTGAAAAGGTGTTATTTAAATCATCAGCCATCTACCACAAAACCAAGTATATACTTGATCTTAAGATTTGATAGAAAGGACTATTTCTTGGTTCTTCCAATTAACTATTGAGCTTTAGCTCCTAGATAATAATTTGGTACGCCAGACGCGCGTTTCAGCTCCATACGATTCATCAGAAATGCAGTAGACAGGTAGAATCCACGGAATATCAATATCAATTTCAATATTAAATATAACGTTTCGATGTAAGGTTTACTTGATAACCCAAGAATAAAAACTCTCCCGGGTGTCTCTCCTGGGGATTAGATCAGTTTTCTTTAAATTGACATGCGATAAACCACGAGTATTTAATTTATAGTTTTTTTTCTACAATGATCTTTTTTTCATTCAATGTCTCTTGTATGAGAAAACAAGGATTGTCGTTTTTATTATTGTCAATGGAAACTTTTAGACTTATTTATTTGCTGGGAATTAATGCACACTTCCTGTCAGCGTTTTCGTCATCTGATGAGTGATGATAGACATTATACACATTTAGAATTCTCTGCTTGATCTCTCATCTGTAGTTTCCTTTGTTTAAACTTGACCTTGGAACTTCTAGGGGTAAAGATTAAAGTGAAGGAAAATTTTTCTTGAAGTCATTCAAGTTCAATGTCTGGCACACTGACCCATATTCTGATTGATAAAACACCTACTTCTCAGTGTGAATTTATTGAATGAACCAATCAGCGAGTTGTACTAGGACATTTTGACTGTTTGCTTAAGGGACATTATTTGGCGCACCTGTATGTACGTTGTCATATTTCAAACATATCTAAATAAAGGTTACTTGTGAGGATGTTAGATATTTTAATTTCACCTTCATAAAAATCTTGAATTAATATACTATTCACCTTGATATAAATGGTTTTCAGGTAACTTGACTGAGGTATGGACTTAAAATAATGTATATTTCCATGTGTTTTATATATGGTCTGATATCTGATGTTCAACGGCCCATCGTCCTGAACATGCATGAAATATTTGCCACTAAACTTTAAGGAACCAAAAATCATTCAACGGCCCAAACCAGGTTCCACAACTGGTAGACGCCAGATAAATCGCAGATTAGCTTATCAGAAGATTTTTGAAATTACCTGAATTATTCATTAGTCATAGTGCAATGGTTCTGTTATTATTAGCAACGAATAAACAATAAATTTTATAATAATAAGATATGATTTATGTACTGAAGAAGTTTTTATCATAATACCATGCCAAATGGAGCATCATCCTTATCATAAACCCATGATGATTATTTGTGATAATGGCTGCCTATCCCGTGGACATTATCATAGTTAACCTCGTCTGTAGCAAATGTGTACGTAACCTTGGTGGTGATGTCTTTTTTGTTGGTTTGTGTATTTGTGTATGCACATGATGATGGATTGATAACTAAATATGAGATAGGTTTATGCTATGCGCTCTTCATTGGTGAACTTATTGCTTCCTTTCTTTGTGATTTCGCGGTTCTTTCAGGGAAATATCCCGAGAACAGTTCAAAGATAAGAAATTCACACAACAGCCATATTTTCCGTAGTACTTTCTTTCATTGGCTTTCTAAAAAGTAATATTTCAGATTCCCTTGTCCATGAACCAGCCAGGAAACATACTATGTAATGTTCAGCCTCCTGATTAACTGGACTCTAATTAAAGTACAGAAACATTGAATGCATCAATATTCGGACAGCATTCAGAATTTTTAAAATACAAATTATAATTTGTAAATTTGATTTGTCTGAGGCACTTTTCTGGATTTTTATACGCACGTTTACGGGACGTATTATGGTATACCGTTGACCGTCTGTCCGTCCGTCGTCAACATGTCGGACATTAATTAAAAAACGCTTTAATCAATATGCATGAAACTTTGGTGGATTGTTTATATCTATTGACGTGAGCTCCCTTTCGTTTTTTATAAATTTCAGATTTACCATTTCTGAGTTTTGGGGTTTTATTCATTAGAAAAGGGGGGATTTTCCAGTTTTCGGACAATAACTCAAAAACAATTTCACCAATTTGCATGAAACTTTTGTGAATTGTTCATATCTATTGACGTGAGCTCCCTTTCGTTTTTTATAAATTTCGGATTTACCGTTTCCGAGTTTTGGGGTTTTATTCATTAAAAAAGGGGGGATTTTCCAGTTTTCGGACAATAACTCTAAAAATATTTCACCAATTTGCATGAAACTTTTGTGAATTGTTCATAGATATTGACGTGAGCTCCCTTTCGTTTTTTTTTTTATAAATTTCGGATTTACAGTTTCCGAGTTTTGGGGTTTTATTCATTAAAAAAGGGGGGATTTTCTAGTTTTCAGACTATAACTCAAAAACAATTTCACCAATTTGCAAGAAACTTCGGTGAATTGTTTATTTCTATAGACATGAGCTCCCTTTTAATCTTTATAAATTTCAGACTATATGTTTCTGATTTATGGGGTTTTATTCATTACGAAAAGGGTTTTTTTCCAGTTTTAGGACAATAACTCAAAAATGCTTTCAGCATTTTTTATGAAACTTTGGTAAATTGTTTATATCTATTTTTATAAGCTCCCTTTTGATTTTTATAAATTTTCGATTTTACATTTCCGAGTTATAAGATTTTATTTTGTTTATAGTCTGACAACAGATTTACTAAGTATTGCGCAACAGCACAGTGTATTGCACAACAGCAAGAAATCTTTCATATAACCAATTTCAAGTTCTTTGACTACATTTATTCAGAAACCTATAATATATCAAATATTTAATTACAATCCAAATTCAGACCTGTATCAAGCTTGAATATTGTGTCCATTTTTGCCCCAACTGCACAGGGTTGGACCTCTGCGGGCGTATCCAGCTGCGCTCAGCGAAGCAGTTTATTACCTTCATCAGGAAAATTCAAACCAAAAGATTGAAATCCTTTAATATATAAAAACCTGATTACCTCAGAGGAGCTATGTGACCAGAATTAACAATGAATATGTAGCCAAATTAAACAAGTTGAAAACTGACATTGCCAACTTCAGATGCTCCCCAAACTGCACATTTATCTAGAGAGAAAATTTCAATTTAGTGTGCTTGGAGGGACAAATAAACCTATACTGTTATTAATAATTTCCACCTATATAAATATGTTGTAATTCACCATACAGAAAACAACTTTAAAAAGAAATCTATGTTAGTACCCATAACCAGGCTTTAACCTATTGACCCCACAATCAATAGACTTCTTCCCCTTCCAAGGGGTACAAGTTATCATCTTGAAACCCTTTGTTTCAGGCACACAGATGGACAAAGCAATCACTATATGCTCTCCAATTTTTTTGGGGGGAAGCATGTAAAAAGGAAACATATACACCCACATCCACCAAAACATACCTTTAATCCTCCAATTTGTGCAGCACAGTGACATTAAAGAAAGATAACTCAAAATATTAATTACTCCCGTAAGATTTTGTAGATTATAATTATTCATAAAATCAAAAGAAAGGCTTAACTATCAAAACTTAGGCAGTATAAATATGAAAAAAATAAATCTTTTTTTTTTTCATTTGAAGACCTTAATTTCATTATAAATTAATTCCGTTCTGCTTTTTCCCTTAAACTGTTTCTCTTTTTAAATCCAGTAATAATCAAGGTACATCTGTTTCCAAATAAAACTGCTACTTTCCTTCACAAAGGTCACAAAAGGTCATTTCCATTCACCAATGTTTCAATAAAAATAAATATATCAATACATTACAAAAGAATTACTGTAACTTTTTGATAAAATATTAGAATGGGAAGAAGGCGTTCACCTTTTTCTGGAGGTTTTCCAAACATCTTGAACATTAGGCTGTGAAGATGCTACATCTATAAAAATTGAATAGAAAATAACCTTGGGAAAGGTGTCTTTTGTTTGACTTTTCCTGTATTGAAAGATTTTCTACCTTTCAATGAATGGTCCATACTGCGCAGTTTTCTGCATGCTTGTGCATATATATGTGATATCATAGATTGATTAAATCATCCAGTTGACTGATTGTATAAAAATTATATCAAACTTCCGATTAATATCACCAGGGTTTCCATATTAAGAGTATATTAACTGGTTTATTCATGAATGACTTTTTGTCACTATTGAAGTGATAGATGACATAAACCAAGGTTGCCTTTTTATACCTGTCTGTGAAGGAGGATTACATCAGTGCCCAAGGTTGCCTTTTTATACATGTCTGTGAAGGAGGATTACATGTTTCCAAGGTTGTCCTTTAGTACCTATTTATAACACAGGAGGGTGCAACATTAATTTTCTTTTTTACCATATCAATTTACCTTGTGATGTTTAATAGTTATTTTGGTGAATAAAATGTCACATATATCATTGTACATCTTAAACATTATGTTACAATGTAGACTTAAATTAACATAAGTTGTATGAAGTTCAATAACCTACAACAGCCATCTTTGATGAGAAAGTCCGTGGAATGTTGTTTGCTACAAAGACCTCTATTCTGGACAACTTAGAGAACGACATATGGAGTGGTGTGTTTATAGCTTTTTTTGCTGTGTTGTTGCATTTCTGTCTTATGGGATTTGGCTAATTTTTTTAGGTCCTTTTTTATCATATAGCTCTTCCAACTATTTCGGTTCTTAGACAGCCTTGGCTTTCAGTGTTCCTGATGAAAGTAAATCCAGAAAAGCGCTTCAGACACATGAATTATTAGTGTGTTGTTTTCAATTGTTATTGAAGGTATCTGGCAACTTGTTTTATTCCCTAATTTGAAAACAATATCATGCAAACAGCTAAGGTCAGATTAGGGAAAAAGATAGTAGAAATCATTTGAATTAGTTGTTACTTTTTTTTAAGTCATAATGCCTTTCACTTTTATACTTTTGACAATTAAGGGTGCAATTTTCATTTTTTTAAACTACTTTTATTGAAACTCATGATTAATTGTATATAATGTGCATACATAGTTACAATGATATTACAAATGTGCTCTTTACACAGAATATGTATAATATTACATACAATTAAAATACAAATTTGATTAACAATTGATCATGATTACTCCAATAGGTTTCACATAAAATAAACCATCAATGATTGACATTTTTCACTACTGTACCAAAGATATTGTCTGTGAATTGTGTCTTCATTACACATGAATGTAAAAATCATTTCATTGAGAATGTCCTTTACACAGATTATCAAGTTATTGAATAAAAATCATACTATACACTCTGATACCCAAAGGATCCGTTTTCTATGCACTTTGGTACCTTAGAGATCCAAATGGCTATACACTGACTGTACCCTAGGGATCCAAATGGCTATACACTGACTGTACCTTAGAGATCCAAATGGCTAAACACTGACTGTACCTTAGAGATCCAAATGGCTATACACTGACTGTACCTTAGAGATCCAAATGGCTATACACTGACTGTACCTTAGAGATCCAAATTGCTATATACTGACTGTACCTTAGGGATCTAATTTCTATACACTGACTGTACCCTTGGGATCTAATTGCTATACACTGACTGTACCTTAGAGATCCAAATTGCTATATACTGACTGTACCTTAGGGATCTAATTTCTATACACTGACTGTACCCTTGGGATCTAATTTCTATACACTGACTGTACCCTTGGGATCTAATTGCTATACACTGACTGTACCCTTGGGATCTAATTGCTATACACTGACTGTACCCTTGGGATCTAATTTCTATACACTGACTGTACCTTAGGGATCTAATTTCTATACACTGACTGTACCTTAGGGATCTAATTGCTATACACTGACTGTACCCTTGGGATCTAATTTCTATACACTGACTGTACCTTAGGGATCTAATTTCTATACACTGACTGTACCTTAGGGATCTAATTGCTATACACTGACTGTACCCTTGGGATCTCATTGCTATACACTGACTGTACCCTTGGGATCTAATTTCTATACACTGACTGTACCTTAGGGATCTAATTTCTATACACTGACTGTACCTTAGGGATCTAATTTCTATACGCTGACTGTACCCTAGGGATCCAATTTCTAAACACTGACTGTACCTTAGGGATCTTATTTCTATACACTGACTGTACCCTAGGGATCTAATTTCTATGCACTGACTGTACCCTAGGGATCTAATGTCTATACACTGACTGTACCCTAGGGATCTAATTTCTATACACTAGCTGTACCCTAGGGATCTAATTTCTATACATTTGGAACCTAATAGGGCTATAAAAAACAGAAGCTCTTTTCACAAAAATTCTTACAAGTAAAATTGGTGTTAATTAAACTGCAGTTTCTTCACACCTCAAGTATTTTTTCTCCTTATATTTTTGATAAATAAACCCCAAAATCTTAAGCATTGCTTTACCTTCTTGTCATGTCTTTAAACAATAGGACCTTTTTATGAGAAGTTCTCCTTTTAACAGGCAAATATTTTGCCTACTTTCTCATCAATGTTAATTTTGAAAGAAATGTTCAATCTAATTTAATACCAAATGATACAAAATGATATAGTACAAATGATACCAAATAATACAAAATAATATAGTACAAATGATACAAAATGATACAAATGATACAAAATGATACAAAATGATAAATATAAATGATTCAAAATGATATAGTACAAATGATACAAAATAATATAGTATAAATGATACACAGGATTATAATATAAATTGAAACAATCTGAGTTTGAAACAAATTACTGCTTTGTAAAAAAAAGAGCTTACTCATCTTTTGCGTGTTTGTGACTTGCTCAATTATTATCAAGGAAGAAAGATAACTCAATATTTTTGCTCTCATAATTCATGCTTTTTAAATCATTTGTCAAAGACGGAAGATAACTCATTGTTCTTCACTGTAATTTACAAGGGAGATAACTCAACGTTCTTTGACTTAGTCATGCTTTAACCATATTTCTCTAATTCTTGCCATATTTATCATTTTCCTGACCTATTGATTATTTTTATTATAATCAAGGTGCGATTCGGTTGATATCAGTTCTCTATTGGTCAAAATTCAATTATGACGTCAAATTTTCGTGCTTTCCTCTTAATTTTCTATTGTGACGTCATGAAAAAAGGCAACTGTGGCTGATGACGTTACATAGAAAGAACACATCTTTTACAGATGCAAAAGAAGGATTAAGTTTGTCTGCATATCATCAATCAATAAAGAAACAGATTCTACCACCATCTAGTGCAATTTAATATTTCTCCACTCTTGACAGTTCAATTTTAAATTTTTAAACTGCTAGGCAAGCCTTTGGGTTTTAAATTTGAAAATTTATCTGTCTCAAATGGAGAAATATTGTATCAAACTTGATGCAGTATTTATCATTTTAAAGGAGATAACTCATTGTTCTTTGACTTAGTGATACTTTACCATATAATTAACATTTATAAGGGAGATAACTCACTATTTATGTTGAATAGACATGACTTTTAAAAGACATGTTCTTTGACATAGTGATACTTTACCATATAATTAACATTTATAAGGGAGATAACTCACTATTTATGTTGAATAGACATGACTTTTAAAAGACGTGTTCTTTGACATAGTGATACTTTACCATATAATTAACATTTATAAGGGAGATAACTCACTATTTATGTTAAATAGACATGGCTTTTAAAAGACATGTTCTTTGACATAGTGATACTTTACCATATAATTAACATTTATAAGGGAGATAACTCACTATTTATTTTAAATAGACATGACTTTTAAAAGACATGTTCTTTGACATAGTGATACTTTACCATATAATTAACATTTATAAGGGAGATAACTATTTATGTTGAATAGACATGACTTTTTAAAGACATAAACAATGTTTAACCTGTTCTTTTTAGTAAGATTTCAATTTTCAAAGTATTAATTTATAAATATTTATTTGCAGGTGTTTGAGCTGACAGATTTCAACAAGAAACATAAAAGTATCAGTTTCAAACCATTAAATTTTGCCTGTATTCTGAAGTTATCTAAAGCACAGCTAGTAGAGAAATCTTTTAAGGTAAAATTTTTTTTTTATAATATTATATTTAATAAGTAATCAATTATTTGAATTATTGGGCTCCATGAATGTAATTTAGACATTAGAGACCTTTCTATCCCTGAATCTGATGTATTCTGAGTTGTTTTCAAAAATATCTGCCAAAACATTATGAATGATTAACAGTATTGTATATAATAAACATTCAACCAATGAACTGTAATTATTTTCATTTTAGTTTAACGTAGAAATTACCCACAATCTATAATACTGATTCTTTTTTAACATTCAATCTTTGTTTAGATTGATCTTTTAATAGAATTAGATGTACATGTATTATACTCATTCCTGAGTAATAGATTACTGTGGATTCACTTATTTTTCATGGATTTAGGGTAATTTGTATTTTTGTGGATATTGATTTCATGATTTTGCCAAAGTCTGCATACTAGCCTATAATTATACAAACGGTACTAATTTTACTGCACCAGATGCACGTTTCGACAGATAATGTCTCTTCAGTAAGCTCAATGCCAAAATATTTGAAAATTCAAAACCTAATATAGATATTGTATACTTCATTGAACATTTAAATATGCGGTTCACATTTACCCATGAAATCCACGAAAATTGGTTTGCCACGAATAATAATGAATTCAGAGTACATTAATAATGAGTACAGTAAACAACATTATAATAACAGGCAATACTTTTCAGCACTACAGCAAACTATTTCAACCACCAACAGCAAACCCAAAACTATACACATTGTTATTACATATTCATTTTTACACAATAGTATATCAAAATTTCTTATTCATATTTAATTGCTCTTCTTTTTATGCAATTTGAAGTATAATTTTTATGAAACAGTTACTTGTACCTGAACCCCTTGTCTCAGATCTAGAGTTCTTGACTCATTGTTATGTAAATTGAGAATATGAAAAACATACACAAATTTTTTTAAATGTTTTTGATTACATTAAAAAGACAAAAATGTTTCAGCTATTAAATTGATCTGCATATGTTAACTACCAAACTTAGTAAAAACCCATGAAATACTACATATTAGGAGAATTCTACAATTTCCTCACAAACTAAATGTTAACAATTTAATAAATGTAATTTGGACTCACAGTCTAAGCTAAATAAATCTTATAACAAAACACAGAACACTATAATGAACAAACAAACTTACAAAACATCAATACTATATACAACTCATTAAAGGCAAATGAGCTAAGAAAATGTAGTGATTATTATAAACAATCTTAATCCAGCAATATTTATATGTAAAAAATAGAAATGTAGAAAAGCTAGTCAGAACAATTGTCACTTATAATTATTTTTTGACTCACTTGAATAAAAGTCAATTTTAAATAGAATGATTTATATAATTATTACTTTTTATTCTATAAGGAATTAGTTTTGTAATCTTTAAGCAGTGTTTTGTGTCCGTCTGTGCAAAGGGAGGTAAATCTAACATTATTTTTCAGGATGGCATCATTGACCAGTTATATGAACTATTTATGGACCATTTTAACATCCATGCTCATAAGATTGGTTTTCCTGAACTGGTTCTACCATCAATACTTCAGGTAATTTAATTAGGGTTATTTGTCTTTATTTCAGATATGTTAAATGATGCTTCAAACTTTCTAATTCAACGAGTTTCCAGTAATTAATCAAAAAATAAGGGATGATGGCCACAGACCATAATTAAATTCCCCTATTAGTTCTTTATAACGTTTTGTTTCATTAAAAAAATTGCACCATGCATTTTTGTCAAATCTTTTGTGTGTGTAATGTATAGTACTAGTCCAAAAATATATACAAAATTCAGAAAGATTGAACCAATGACTCTTACAAATTTAGCCAATACACATCCATACCCCTATGGACAAGTCAAGAGATGTTCCGAAAACTGTAAATATCACCTTTTTGCACCTGGCCTAATCACTCTTTCCATATCAAAATCAGTTAAAATACAACATCCAAAAGTTTATTTCACCTCTCTTCTTTTATTTCCACCCAAAAAAAACTAAGAAATGAGTGAGGAAAGGAAAGAAAAAAAATTAAGAAAAAATACACTCTAATTAAAAGGAACTATATTCGTGGACAACGAAAAGTGGGATCATTAATTGTGGTCTTGGGCCATGATAGGTACCCCCCTTTTTTAAAAGACAATCTAGTCCTAATGGAGATGGAAAGCTTTACACAAATACATTGTTGAATAATTTTGCAAGAGGTGTGTTTTTTTTTTATTATTTCTTAAATAAATAACGCTACAAAAATAATATCTGTGGAAATTGGATCCACCAATGTCCAAACAATGTGCCTTTAAACAACTATAGGTAACTGTACGACCTTTAACAATAGCCAAACCCATACCATATAGTCAGCTATAAAAGACCTCAACATGACAAAATGTGAAACATTTTACACACCAGAAAACCAACATAATAACTTGTTTTTCAAATTTTGTTATTAATTTTAACCATCTTTAAAAAGTGATAACACACTGCAATTGTAATTTACTTTCAGAATAATTCTTTTGTTACTAATGCATATTCCTACTTTTGTTACTAATGCATATTCATACATTTGTTACTAATGCATATTCATACTTTTGTTACTATTGCATATTCATACTTTTGTTACTAATGCATATTCATACTTTAGTTACTAATGCATGAATACACTTTAACCAACTCTGCAGAAGAAAAGTAACTGTCCTTTCTTCTTTGAAAGGGAAAAATCAATAATAATTGAATGAATTTCAGATGAAGGAATTTCTGAAGAAATGTAAAATAGCAAACTACTGTAAACAAATAAAACAGATAGTGGATAAAGTTCAGGAGACATCAAAGTTTATTACAGACAGGAGAAAATCTGTGTCCTTCAGTATCTCTGATGATAAAGCTATTGTAAGTTCTTTGTTTTATGTACTGAGTAAAATAAAATTAGCAACAAATAATTTAAATTTTATATTTAAAAAATTAACTATAACATACATAAATTAATGTAACAAAGAAAATAAGAGTCAGAAGGTGTTATTTTTACTTGCCAAAAACTCAATTAATCGAGTAGAAAGGTTTAAACATTGGACATTTTTAATTAAATGTTTTTAATTGAAAAACATGTTGCTAAACTTGTTTTTCTCATTAAAAATGCTCAATTGAAAAATAAATATTTGTCGCTGTGGTCTCTTGGTAGAAAGCTCATCTCAAGTGTTGGAGATTGTATGTTTGATACCCTGCTGGGTAAATCATAAGACTAGAAGACTTAAGGGCATAAGATACAGTTACAGGGGAGGTAATAACGTTGCTAACATAAAATGTTATTTTTCATGACGTCAAACTATGAGATATTGGGAAAAGATGCATTTTCGACTGAATTTTATTATTTAGACTGATTTAACTTGAAAATGAGTTCAAAGGGCAAAGTGAGCTTTTCTCATCACTTGGCGTCCATCGTCCGTCGACTCTGTTAACTTTTACAGAAATCTTCTCTGAAACTACTGGGCCAAATTTGACCAAACTTTGCCACAATCATCATTAAGGTATCTAGTTTAAAAAATGTGTCTGATGATCCCGCCCACCAACCAAGATGGCCGAAAATGGCTAAAAATAGAATATAGGGGTAAAATGCAGTTTTTGGCTTATATCTCTAAAACTAAGCATTTAAAATGTTTGTCAGGTTTAGATCTATCTGCCCTGAAATTTTCAGACGAATCAGACAACCTGTTGTTGGGTTGCTGCCCCTGAATTGGTAATTTTAAGGAAAATTTTGCAGTTTTTGGTTCTTATCTTAAATATTATTATAGATAGAGATAAACTGTAAACAGCAATAATGTTAAGCAAAGTATGATCTACAAATAAGTCAATATTACCAAAATTGTCAATTGACCCTTTAAGGAGTTATAACCCTTTATAGTCAATTTTTAACAATTTTTCGTAAATTTTTGTAATCTTTTACAAAAGTCTTCTCCTCTTAATCTACTGGGCCAAATAGAATTAAAGTTAGCCATAATTTTCAATAGGGTATCTTGATTGAAAAATATATCTGATGACCCTGTCATCCAACCAACATGGCCACCATGGCTAAAAATAGAACATAGGGGTTACTATAGAAGTCTATGGGAAAATTGTAAAAAAAAACAATTTCAAATGGTCAAAACTTACAAACTAATTTAAATAATGATAAGGGGTCTTCAGTAACTATTGTAAGACTACATGTACAATGGGATGACCTGCTTTTAATTTAACTACTGGGCCAAATTAAACCAAACTTGGCCTCAATCATTATTAGGGTATCTACTACTATTTATTATGATTTTACCTTATTTTACATAATTTCCAAAACCACAGTAGATACAGGTGAGTGACACAGGCTCTTGAGAGCCTCTAGTTAAAAATGCCAAGCTAGATTATGTATGAGGATTATTTGTGCCAAATTTTATGGAGAAATCACTGATGAAATTTTTTTTTAAAAGATAAATATACCAAAAATACAGCAAAAAATGTTGTTCCTTAACTAAAATCATGATCAAATTCAAAGCACACTTATACAGAGAAGATATTCCAGATGCGTTTACAAATATCTGCTCACGTTTATCTTTTGAAACAAAAAAGCTAAGTATGTCTTTCCGAAGGATAGACATGTCCAAGAAACCAAAATTTCCAGTACAAGTCTAAAATTTGGACCCAATTTATTTCTAAAAGTAGCAGATGAAGATATATTTTTATGCCCCTGCCGTAGCGGAGGGGGCATTAAGTGTTTACCTTGTCCGTTCCGTCTGTCCCCAAAATTAGTTTCCGTTCTCTAACTTTAGGTTCCCTCAACCAAATGTTATAAAATTTATACACAATGCGTATTACCACAAAACACAGATCAAGTTCGAAATTGGGTGGCATCACTTTTACCATTCATGAGTTATGCCCCTTTATAAACATAAAAATTGCTGAGTTTTTTGTTTCCGTTCTCTAACTTTAGTTTGCCTCAACCAAATGTTATGAAACCTATACACAATGCTTATAATCCCAAACGGTTTATACTACATGAATCCTGCATCTGTATGTGGAAGTTGACTCTTGCATATATACAAGCGGGGGCATTTGTAGCCTATAGACACATTCTCCATTTATTTATTACATATTTGAATTGACTAGGTGAAAAATAGCTTGTATGCAAACTTTCGTCAAAAATTCACTGTGTGGTCAAAACTGTATCATATACCCTTAAGAGCAAATACTTGTCGCCTCAGAGTCAAAATAATGTGTTCAAGTAGGGTGACATGTCTTCCTTGGAGATCTTAACAATCTGACAGGTTTTTAGTCTAGTTTAAAGAAGGGTTCATAGGTCATTATCATGTTATTGTCCTGATATGCTTGTAATATTTGCCACTAGACTTTGAACACCAATCTGCCATCATCATAAAAAATTTGTAAGGGTTCCTAAGAACCCTGTGTCTCGCCTACAATTGCTACTATCATTGTAAAAGTGTAATGTTGACCATAAAAGTGAATCTTTTTATCAGAAAAGTACAGAATTAAACAAAAAATCTTAACTTTTTTTTTACATGCTATTTCTTGGTCTTGACGATAAGCATCAGTACAAGTTTCATTACAATCCATGAAGGTTTAACAATGTATTTTGTCAAAAAAATTCAATCCAAGACTGTCTGTAAATGAGAACTGTAAAAAATTAAGACCATATATCAGAAAAATACTGAAAATGAAAAAAAAAAATTTCAAAAGTTCATAAGTTTCATAAAATTGTATGAAAGTTTCACAAAGTAGTTGATGTGTAACAACAAACAGTAAAATACGAAAAAATAAAAATAAATATTTTCAAAATTTTGCTCTGGATACTGTATTTTGGTCATAAACAAGCTTCTGGCCAAATTTCCTAAAATTCCGTGAGGGTTTGACAAAATTATTGATTTCTAAAAACTTTAACCATAGACTGAACCCAAATGTTGATGGTGCTGATGCCGACGACAGAATCTAGGATTGCTAAGCCTCGCTTTGCGACATAAATGTATTTTTTATAACCTTATTCCTGTTCTTGATTATTTTGAAAAAGAAAGAAATAAAACATTCTCAGATATTTAACTCTTAGTTTTGATACAAGTATAAACATGTTCAGGGATAGAAACATGAATATGTTGTTGATGAAGAGGAAATTTTGTGATTAAACAATTAAAATTGATAAATATGCTTAAAATATAAATTCCATTTGTTTCTTCAATTCTTAGTGTTTCATTTTGCAATCTACTGTTTGGTTTGTCCGTTGATTCCACAGTATTTCAGTTCTTATGCATCTTTTTTGTTATCAAATCTTTATCAATTTTGTTTTTTACCTTGTGATCACTAGATTCCAGAATATTCCAACTCATAAAGTTTAGCCTTTGTAGTGTCTGGACTTCCTGCTTTATTTACACATCCTATGAAGATAGTTCCTGATGTAGACAGAGCAAGGGAATATGGAAATATGATTCCCATGTTACGGAGGTTGTAGTAGGTAATACTTTGTCCTTGGTCAGTCAGTATATGCAATAAATGATTGTTTGTATCTGTAACAACAATGTTATCTGATGGTGTTGTTAGTATGCCTACAGGTGTAAATGGATCATCCTCTGTGTTGACATCAGGGTGACCAGTGTAAGTTCCTAGAATGTCTCCCCCTGGTGATAACACAACCACTATACCTCTGTTAGTATTATCTAACCAATCCACCACACAGATATTACCATTACTGGTACTTGTTATATATCCAGGGAAGGTGAATAATCGTTTGTTATGTTTGTCATGTTCATATTCCTTGAGTTGTTTTCCTTCCTGATCCATTACTACCACTACACTTCTTCCTGTGACAGGGACTATCCCACCTCCAGTCAAGGCTCCTATGATGACTCTGTGATCACTGGTTACATGGATACTGATTGGATACAGTGGTTTTACATCAAACCTAGAATCTGTTATCTGTTCTGTCATGGGGTTGATTAGTTTAAGTTTGGTCTCACCTTCTGTTTTAACAAGAATGTTATTTGAATGAGTTTTTGCCATTCCATAAATCTTAGTATTTAAACTTGTTATTACTTCAGTTCTATCCTCCCTAAGTTTGACATGTTGTAACTTTGATCTGGTACTATCCCCCATCCACATAGAACCATCAGAACATACTGCTATATCGTGAACAGAGGTAAGATCTGTTGTATATTCTTTGAATATTTCAAACTTAATCTTACTTTGCTGTTTTGGCTTCATTTCTACTTTGCCTTCATTATAGTCATCTTCTTCTATTAACTCATGTCCATTATGAACTTTAGCTACACACTTCAAGCAGATAAATGTTTTGCAGGTTTGACAGAAAAGGCAGCATGTTTGTCCTTTATGAGTTTCACACTTTATTTCATTGAAAGTAACATGTTTACCTATATCCTTTATATCAGTTATCTGATGATCTTTAGCAATCCTTAAGTGGACTCTGTCCATACATTCACTGCACATTAAAAGTTCACACTCAATGCATTTGAATTGGATCTTATTTTGACCTTTGCATAGCTCACATCCTACTGGAATTTGTCCTTTTTGTATTGAACTTGCAAAGGCCATTTTTACAAATTAAATATGTCTGTCTTTTATACTTCCTTGTGCCTACTGTCTATAAATAGCACTTTTTAAAATAATCTTAACTATCTTATGTTTACAATGTGTAAACATTGCGAGCTGTGCAAAGTTCAAAATAAGAAACAATTTAAATGTATTTTGTTAGTTAAATCAAATCATAAAGACAGCTTATATTGAAGATGTATTTTCAACTTAAATGTATATAAATCTAATAGGTATGAACTTGCATGAATGAAGGAAACACTTGATATAGGAATTCAGACAGTTACTTCTTGAAACAAAATATCAAAAGATATGTACATATTTATTTATTTAAATCTCATATATTATAATTTATAATGTGAAACCTTTCTTAGTCCATGCTTATGCCTGTTATAAACTTTTCATTTTCCAAGGAAATATTTCAGCCTGAAAAAAAATAGGAAAATGTTTGACTTTTGAAATGAAATACTTCAATTTTATGTTATAAGGCAGACAACTCAAAAATAATTTAGACTAAAAATTACAAGACCAGTATGATTTACACTTTAAAAGTTCAATTTAACTAAGAAAAATCTAATATGTCATCAGCAGACCAGATTATGCTAAGCAGTGTATTGTGTACAAATCAATATAGAAAGACCACTGAACAAACTCTTTTATTATAGGACTATGAATTTTCTGTTTTCTCATTGACTAAAGGCGAAGGAATCCTCTTTGATAAATCATTATATTCACCACGGCAAAATCATATGAGGTTAATACAAGATTTGGAACTGCGTCCGTGTAATAAAACAATTGTTGACTTTTGATTTCAGTTGATACAATGATTTATCGACCCCTGAGATTTGACATTCGTCCTTAGCCGTTGCCCTCGGTGAATATCATATCTCTGGGGTTGATAAATCATTGTATTAACCTCATCAAAAGTCAATAACTAAAATATTACCAGGATGATTCACTCCTTATATTGGGGGAACTAGAGTCCAATATTTTTTTTACAAGAGTTTCATGAATCAGGTACAGTGTTGATGTATTTATACATGTTTAAGAACATGTTGTTCTTGATGTTTATATAATTGGTGAAGATCTTAATATTTATGTATTCATACTTGGAAAATATCTTTTTTTTGCAATTTTTTTATTTTTCCTGATGAAACATGTGAAATTACATACTACAGTATTAGACACAAATTATAAAAAAATAAGTAACACTTTTAAGATCGATCAAGTCATAAAGATATTATAAGATATAAATATTACAATTGATTTTGTTAATTAAAAGCTGCTTCTAACAAATGCCACTTCTGATCCATTTTTACTTTTTGTACAGGGGTTAAGAAACATACAGAGTATTTTTCTATATTAATCCAATATTTTAAATATTCTATCCCACCATATTTTGTGGTGAATATGTTCTTACATCTACATTTGTATATATAGTATTTAAATAACATCAAAATATTATTAACTATTTTACTGTTGACAAAATCCTCAGACACACCTAAAATGACTTCTTTTGCACTGAAAGGCAAGAGAATGCCATAATTTTTAATCCGGTCTATAATGGATAGCCAGAAGTTTTGTGTAACATTACATCCCCATAAAATGTGAAAAATATTTTCTCTAATTTCTGAACAAAATGTACATAGTTCAGTTTCTTTTAATTTACATTTTAATAAAAATAAATTACATGGCAGAATCCTTTGAAATATCTTAAATTGAAAATTTTGTAAAAACGAATTTCTGGTTATAATGAAAGGCATGGAATAAATAGTATTCCAATCTTCGATCTGCATATTTAAATCTATTTCCCATTTATTACGGGAAGATAAAGATGAGGGGGTGGAAAGGGGGGTACCTTTCTCCTTTCTCCCACCCCTCGTCTCCTTTCTCCAGCCCCCTTTCTCCTTTCTCCCGCCCCTCTGCTTCCATCTCCCACCTTAACAACCGTCTTTTTTCAGATCAATAGATTTTAATACAAATTTGAATTAATATATGACCATATATAGGTGGCATAGGTCTTTATTAAAGCAAATACTGATTTTACGAACAAGACCTGCCTCCGACTCGTACGCAAATTAATACACAATGTTGGAATGTTGTCAATGGTGCATTGTGCATGCTCCAATGTCAAGAAACTCATTTTTGATATGTATGGTCATGTATGAGGATCATGAAATTAGACATAGTTTTTTATTGTGTCATCTCTATTTTTCCCTGTCCTCGAGAACACCTTACTTTGTATGGTCAAGTGGATAATGTATTAAATTTGTAAAAATCAATCGGGTCCAGGACCAATCCAGTATATCTTATCAAAATCCTTCGTAATTAAGTCCATTTTTTATGTACAATGTGTATCATAACTGTTTCTTGTTACGGAATATATTTTTTCAGCATTTATTTTCATATTTTGTTAAGAAATTTGCACTTGCATGTTTGCAGTATAATTGTTGTGTGTGTGTATTTTTAGAATAGAAATCCAGATTTAGTCTGTGTTTCAAATATTAAAGGAGGTGTTTCGGTTATGGTCATGAGACCTAGGCTTATCCTCATCAGGTATCCCTAGCCTATATTTTTCTTTCTTGTAATATTTAGAATGGTTCCAATTTGATTTCACTTATGGGGAACATCAACCCACCCTACATCCGTATTTAAAAGATTCATTACTGCAGAAAGTATTCTTTTTATAAGATCTTGCAATTACCTAAATGACTTCAATAAAGAAGTCCAACTGTTTAAGTCTAAACTTCTTAAAAGAGGACATTACGAAAATGAGATTGACAACATTATAACTAATACAACAAAACGAGAAAGGAAACAAACTTTGAAATACAATAATAAAAATAAGAAAGCGCCTCCACCACTCGTTTTTGCAACAAAATTTAACCCAGCATTTACAGGAATCGGAAGAGCTTTAAGGAAGCATTGGCACCTAATCGAACAAAACAGAAATACAAAAACTATGTTTCCAAAACCACCGATTATTGCGTACAAAAGACATAAAAATCTAAAAGAATATTTAACGAATTCTAAAATGGAAAATGATATAGTGGTATAAAATCAAATAAAAGATAAAAATATCACACACAATAAAATTACAGAACAACTAAAATAAAGAGAGAAATAAATAACAAAAAACAGAAAGAAACAAAAAAGAAAAAAACGAACTAGAACGTATGAACAGGTGTCGTATCCCCATAAGTGAAATCAAATTGGAACCATTCTAAATATTACAAGAAAGAAAAATATAGGCTAGGGATACCTGATGAGGATAAGCCTAGGTGTCATGACCATAACCGAAACACCTCCTTTAATATTTGAAACACAGACTAAATCTGGATTTCTATTCTAAAAATACACACACACAACAATTATACTGCAAACATGCAAGTGCAAATTTCTTAACAAAATATGAAAATAAATGCTGAAAAAATATATTCCGTAACAAGAAACAGTTATGATACACATTGTACATAAAAAATGGACTTAATTACGAAGGATTTTGATAAGATATACTGGATTGGTCCTGGACCCGATTGATTTTAAAAAGGATGATTTCTAGAAATGATCGGAAATGGCAAAAATGGTTTGGGAAATATAAATGTTGCCTTTTTTCAAAGATTTGTCCATTTATTAGAACATTTAGTATCCAGTTTTTTCGTTTTTTTACCTCTTTATTTTTTTTTCAACATTAAAGTTCGTCTCCCTTTGATAGTTCTCCCTCCTTTCTCCCGCTCTTTCTCTCCTTTCTCCCACCCCCTCTCTCCTTTCTCCCGCCCCCTTCCTCCTTTCTCCCGTCCCCTCTCTCCCTGTCTCCCAATACCCTTTCCACCTACTCAAAGATAGCAATTTACAAGATTTTGGTTCCTTTTTATACGACCGCAAAAATTAAAAATTTTTTGTTTGGTCGTATATTGGTATCACGTTGTCGTCGTTGTCGTCTTCGTCGTCAGCGTTGTCCGAAGACAGATGGTTTCCAGATAATAACTTTAGTATAAGTAAATAGAAATCAATAAAATTTTAACACAAGGTTTATAACCACTTAAGGAAGGTTGGGATTGATTTTTGGGGTTATGGTCCCAACTGTTTAGGCATTAGGGGCCAAAAAAGGGGCCCAAATAAGCATTTTTGTAGTTTCCAGACAATAACTTGTGTTAAAGTGTATGAATCTCTCTGAAATTATACCACAAGTTTCCATACTACAAAGGGATGGTTAGGATTGACTTTGGGGGGTTATGGCTCAAACCATTTAGGAATTAGGGGCAAAAAAAGGGAAAAAAACAAGGGTTTTTCTGGTTAAAGAACAATTGAGACAATTCAAAAGCAGTGTAAGGGAGGTAATCCAAATCAAAATCCAAATCAATTCAAATAACAATGTTTGATTACCTCCCTTACACTGCTTGTAAATTATGTATTAAGAAATGATGATTGTCTGAGATACTGACCATAACTTGAAGGAAAGAATTATTTTTTGGAATAAGGGAAAGGGGGAGGTGAAAAAAATTGGAGGGGGACATTCTTTCTCATTTCAGATTTAAGAAATTAACAGAAAATTTCTTCAAATATTTTTTTTTGGGGGGTTAATATTCAACAACATAGTGTATTGCACAAACGCAAAAAAACGGGGTAAATATTTTTTTTTTGGGGGGGGGGGGGGTCAATTCGCATAGTGTATTGCACAAAAGAAAAAAATTGAATATAAATTAAAATCATATGACCAATTTGAATTTCTTTGACTACAGTTATTCTGTGTCAGAAACCTATTATGTGTCAAAAATTTAATTACAATCCAAATTCAGACCTGTATCAAGCATGAATATTGTGTCCATTTTGGCCCCAACTTTTCAGTGTTGGACATCTGCGGTTGTATACAGCTGCGCTCAGCGAAGCAATTTATTAACTTTATCTTGGAAAATATCTTGATGTTGGTGATGTATTTATACTTTGTGAACATCTTGTTGTTGATGAATTTATACTTGGAAAAGATCTTGTTGTGGTTAGTGTATTTAAAATTGGTAGAGATTTTGATGTGA